AAATGAAATAGTCTACTCGAGAAATTTGCCATTAGAGTTTTCAGACGTAGCCTATATACGTAGTTGGAAAAGGTGAACAATCTGTTCTACCGTTAAACTGCGCTCAGTGTGCAGTTTTGGACTGGATCGCATATCGCATACAGCAAAATACTTGAAATAGCTTATCTATTTACTACTGTGAAGTGGGTCTAGTTAAATGAGAGATGGGATGAATGGTAGCCTATCCTAACTTGTTGTAGGCCTAGGCTCAGTGGCGTGTATTCATGGATGCCAAGGGAAGCCAGGCTTCCCCCCATAATTGACCCTCCCTCCAAAAATTTATATTTTTCGTCTCTCTGTGTTCACTGAATTTTCCTTCAATTCGCAAGAGGCTGAATGTATCTCACCGGAGAAAGCATCCGAGCGAGCGAAACAGCACCCTTCTGTCGCTATATGTGTAGCAAATCAATCTGATGCTGTCTGGTCAAAAAGAGTATGATATTCTTGCCGCCCGTAGCTTTGAATGCAAGAGAAGACTGCTAGCATTTGGCCTCCCTAGATACATTTTTTAAATAATAATAATAGCCAATCAGCGTTGAGCTAAACTGAGTGAGCTCAACTGTGACAAAAAAGTATATAGGGAAGCCAGTTTGATTTTTGCTTCACAGTAATTATATCACATCAGAAGCCAAACATCTTTGACAGAAAAAAACTTGAATTGCTGCATCTCGTTGTCCTCCGGTGGCTAGCTAACTAGCTAAAATTGTCCCTTTCCTAAATTAGCCATGGATAGGGATTTGGACTTGTGGTTTTACTTAATTCTCTGTACTGGCCAATGATTATAACAACGATTCTGATCCAACCATAAATGCATACATTGTGCCCCTGGTCTGAGAAGATGGAAGTTCAGTATGTAGCTAGATGTAGTAGGCTAATGCTAACTAGCCGGCTCATCGTTGCCCATGAAAGGAAGTTAGGCTAGCGAGCAAGCATTTTAGCCAGGTAGCCTAGGACAACAAAAACTAAACGCTTGTACTGTATGAGTCATAGACCGTTTCAGCAACATGAAAGAGAGGAGGGTGAGTCACCATGTTTTTTCTACTTCCACGCACGCACGCACTCACTCACACACACAGAGAAATCAGTACCATGGACAGCCACATCATATTTAGTTGATGTTGATTGGACTAAATTGTTTTTGGTATTCTTTCAGTTGTCACTGTATTAGACTAAACATAGGTGATTTGATGATGTTGAGATGTTTAGGTTGAAATGGTGTTGGCATACTGGAGGCAGCTCCTGTATTCTTTGCGACTTGCGGTAATTCTTCGTGGTTCTAAATCAATAGTTGTTTAGTAGTCCGAAAATGTCGGAAACATTAACTTGCGACCATGCTGTAGGTCATGTAACTGTTTGTTACATGCAATATGCTTTGTGGACTTCAACAAATGTGTGGTTGAATTTATTCTGCCGCTGTGTCTTCTTATTGTCTCGGCCTTAGGCCTATATATCACAGTGGCAAGGCATATGAACTAACAGGTTATAAACCAAACAATGCGATTATCACAACACAGGTTGTAATATGGCTTTTTTCCATGGCTTGGCTTTCCCAGTGATTTTACCCATGCAACACTACTGCTTAGGCCTAAAGGCTATTTCACGAGTATGAAACCATCACAGTGAGAAAAGGTGAGGAATGTATTCTTCAATGATCATGGAAATTAAATAATTAGAAATAAGCATATACAGTTGAAGTTGGAAGTTTACATACACCTTAGCCAAATACATTTAAACTCAGTTTTTCACAATTTCTGACATTTAATCCTAGTAAAAATTCCCTGTCTTAGGTCAGTTAGGATCACCACTTTATTTTAAGAATGTGAAATGTCAGAATAATAGTAGAGTGAATGATTTATTTCAGCTTTTATTTCTTTCATCACATTCTCAGTGGGTCAGAAGTTCACATACACTCAATTAGTTGGGTGAATTTTGTCCCATTCCTCCTGACAGAGCTGGTGTAACTGAGTCAGGTTTGTAGGCGTCCTTGCTAGCACACACTTTTTCAGTTCTGCCCACACATTTTCTATAGGATTGAGGTCAGGGCTTTGTGATGGCCACTCCAATACCTTTACTTTGTTGTCCTTAAGCCATTTTGCCACAACTTCGGAAGTATGCTTGGGGTCATTGTCCATTTGGAAGACCCATTTGCGACCAAGCTTTAACTTCCTGACAGATGTCTTGAGATGTTGCTTCAATATATCCACATAATTTTCCTTCCTCATGATGCCATCTATTTTGTGAAGTGCACCAGTCCCTCCTGCAGCAAAGCACCCCCACAGCATGATGCTGCCACCCCGTGCTTCACGGTTGGGATGGTGTTCTTCGGCTTGCAATCACCCCCTTTTTCCTCCAAACATAACGATGGTCATTATGGCCAAACAGTTCTATTTTTGTTTCATTAGACCAGAGGACATTTCTCCAAAAAGTACGATCTTTGTCATTATGTGCAGTTGCAAACCGTAGTCTGGCTTTTTTATGGCGGTTTTGGAGCAGTGGCTTCTTCCTTGCTGAGCGGTCTTTCACGTTATGTCGATATAGGACTTGTTTTACTGTGGATATAGATACTTTTGTACCTGTTTCCTCCAGTATCTTCACAAGGTTTTTGCTGTTGTTCTGGGATTGATTTGCACTTTTCGCAACAAAGTACGTTCATCTCTAGGAGACAGAACGCGTCTCCTTCCTGAGCGGTGTGATGGCTGCGTGGTCCCATGGTGTTTATACTTGCGTACTATTGTTTGTACAGATGAACGTGGTACCTTCAGGCGTTTGGAAATTGCTCCCAAGGATGAACCAGACTTGTGGAGGTCTACAAAATTTTTTCTGAGGTCTTGGCTGATTTATTTTGATTTTCCCATGATGTCAAGCAAAGAGGCACTGAGTTTGAAGGTAGGCCTTGAAATACATCCACAGGTACACCTCCAATTGACTCAAATGATGTCAATTAGCCTATCAGAAGCTTCTAAAGCCATGACATCATTTTCTGGAATTTTCCAAGCTGTTTAAAGGCACAGTCAACTTAGTGTATGTAAACTTCTGACCCACTGGAATTGTGATACAGTGAATTATAAGTAAAATAATCTGTCTGTAAACAATTGTTGGAAAAAGTACATGTGTCATGCACAAAGTAGATGTCCTAACCTACTTGCCAAAACTATAGTTTGTTAACAAGAAATCTGTGGAGTGGTTGAAAAAACTAGTTTTTATGTAAACTTCCGACTTCAACTGTATTTCCTATTATTTTATAAACCAAAGATAAAATACATCGATTTTCGCTCTTCTCACTAATGGCAAATGATTGCATCTTGTTATTATATTTAGCCACCTGTTTTTCTGTTATGAATAAGTGTGTCATCATATACAGGTATTCCCCATTTGTACAAGGCTACTAGCTACTTTTGCCTTCTTGCAATGCAATACTTCAACCACTAGAAACTGTGCGTACGCATGGTCTAAAGTTTGCGGGGGGATAAGCACATTCTAACGTCAATTTCAGTTTTTATAAATGCCAACTTTTGCGTGAAAACTGGCAAACACGTTTTGTGCATATTTTGTGCATATGCAATGTTTATAAATGAGGCCCCTGGTGATTAAACTGTTTTTATGTGTCAGACACAATGACAGGCTTAATGCAGTGATTTAAATAAAATCATATTCTTTATTTTACAAATTTGCACAATAGTGGTGAACACTCATACAAATAAACACACCTACTCATGTGCATACACTCATACACAACCCTCTACACACTCACTCAGACACACTGGAAGAATGAGAGAAGGTGAAACTCGCGACTGGACACTTGCAGGCGCCGAGGTCCAGAGTGATGACTCAATCCCGATTTATGACACTGTTTGGATGGCTGACCATCTGTGGGCTATGAAAGGGATCAAACACACCTCATCTGAGGCTTTCTCCGGGGAGGGACGTTCCCACAGAACCCTGGGAGCATGGACACCGTTGGAGGTGTGAACACAGATTAAATTAATGTTACCGTGTGAATTAAACTGTCATGTTACACATTTTGATATTTTTTATTGTACTGTAAGTGCTATGGATTTATTGTTACAGGGAAACTGTGTTATTTTGTTAGCCGCACGGCGGATAGTTCAAAGAGGAGCGACACAGAACGGTGACCCTCCTCAGTTAATGGGGATTTTCTCTCCCCCACACACACACGCACGCACATACTTTGAACACAAACAGACACAGAATACTCACAAAACATAACATCGCCTTCCTTACTTCCATTGGCATTCAGATCACACATAGTCCAGTTAAACCATTTCTCAAATGACTCAGTGACTTTATCTATTTAAAAAAAGGAATGTGAACTGTGAAATATACACAGAGGGGGGTGCTGCTCAACGGTGGGTGACTCCATTCTGTCACGACGTGAACTACACCCCCATTTCTTGAGTCTAATGGAATAATTCCCATAAAGGTGACCAGGCTAGTGACCGATGGGAAAAACCATTGGCTAGTGTTTAGTCAACAGGAGTTGCCATTTTCTGATTTCAGTACAGAGGAGGTGATGTAGCTTAACAAATAATCATGAACAGTGTTCATGATATCAACTTTAATCAGTAAAAACAGTCTTTGATTGTCTATGCAATTGCTTGTGACGGGAGATCCCTATGTTCGGGTAAAAAATACATTTTCACTGTTTTCTTTTATTGAGGGTGGTGACACGAGTGAAAGAGGGAGGGACAGTAGTGAGACAACGTGGGAGAAGTTAGAGAAAGAGAGGAGGAAGAGAGAGGTAGAGACCGGCAAAGAGAGAGAGAGAATGTAAACAACAGCAAACAAGTGAAATAAAACCCATATTTTAAGACTTTTCCCCCTCAAATCTCTCTGTTCCTCCTCAGCGACTCTCCTCCCAGATCTTGCTTTGCCTTGGACTACAGCTCCAATAGTGCACCTCTCTGTTACTTCTTGTGTAGCTCTGAGGTGATTGGTGGGTTCTAGACCTCCACCTGGCCCTGGGTGAGGTGGGTTCTGAGCTGCTGGGCTGCGTTGGTGATCTTCCTCTGGTGTCCCAACAGGTTCACCCCCAGGTTCTGCACATCCCTGAGGGAGAGAGGGAAGGAGAGAAGGAGAGAGAGAGTTCAGAAAAGTATCCACTGCTTCTAAAAGCATGATTTGCATTTTATGAAAATAACTTTGTTGATATTGAAATGGAAGCCCAGGACTCACTCCATGGTTAGCCTGCTCACTCTGTCCAGTGTGTCCAGATGCGCCCTCTCAAACTGGTCCTTATACCTGTCCATCCTCAACGCTGTCAGCCACTCACTGACCGTCGCCACCGACGACAGGTCTGTGGGGGTGGGGCTCAGCAGTGGCTGGGTGGAGCTTGAGTTGGAGAGGGAAAGATCGAGATCGAAAATGATTGGCCTAACATAGCAATGATTCAATACATTTACATGATAACATAATACATGCTCTCCAAAGATCACTGTTTGTGAATGTGATCCATTACTTCTGTTGTGTAAAATATGGAAGAAAAGGCAGATGGGAGGTGTAGTCTCACTGGGGATGCTCTGCCTTGAGGGAGGCAGGGTGTCGTATGAGCCTGTCCAGGGAGGAGAGGAGGGAGTCGAAGCCTAGCCGGTCGCCCCTGTCAGCCTGCCAACACTGCAGCATCAGGGAGTGGAGTGCTGGAGGACAGTTATGGGGGGCTGGGAGACGGTACTGGTCCGCTACAGCCTTCATTACCTGTATTATAGGGAGGGAAGAGAGAGGAGGTAGGGGAGGGGAGAAAGAAGGGGGACAGAGGCAGGGAGAGGGGGAGAGAGAGGCGAAGGGAGGAAGAGCAAGAAGAAAGAGAGAGAGCAAGAGAGAGAGAGAGAGAGAGAGAGAAGGAGGAAGGGTATTAGTAACCATCTGGATGTTAACAAGCTGCCCTATATAGAGAGGTCCCAGCAGTACAGAGGGACTTAGAGATGATTAAACATTCTGTTTAGCTGTCAGTGTGTTTAGTCTCTGTTTGGCTCTCGCTTAACCCTCCCACAACTCACTTCCTGATTGCTCATGTCCCAGTATGGCCGCTCGCCATATGACATCACTTCCCACATGAGCACTCCGAAGCTCCAGACATCACTAGCTGAGCTGAACTTGCGATGCTGGAAGGCCTCCGGGGCTGTCCACCTGACAGGAATCTTACTGCCCTGAGAGGAGAGAGGAGAGAGAGAGATGAGTGGTTGAGCACTGTGAATTTTGAGATCTTCTATTAACATAAGTAGTCTATTAGAGTGGAAATCCAAGAATAAACATCATTAAACAAAACTCAATTTCCCAGCAGCATATACCAGTGAGGCAGTGTAGGTGGGCATGTTGTGGTCCAGGCCCCTCATGAGGCGCGACAGGCCGAAGTCAGACACCTTACAGACCAGGTTAGAGTTGACTAGCACGTTCCTGGCAGCCAGGTCCCGGTGGACAAAGTTCCTCTCAGAGAGGTACCTCATCCCAGCCCCAACACCCCTCACCATCCCTACCAGCTGGAGAACACTGAACTGGTCCTCATTCTCCTGGGGGTGAGAGAGATGGAGAGATAGAGAGCGAGAGGTGGGAGAAAGAGTGGAGGATATATTCTGGTCAGTTATGGTAATAAAATGTACTGTTTTCTCAGTCTCACCCTGAGTTAGTTACTGTGTAGATGGGAGTTGTAGTTCTTGGTCTAAACTGGTGTAGATGGGAGTTGTAGTTCTTGGTCTATAATGGTGTAGATGGGAGTTGTAGTTATTGGTCTAACACAGTGTAGACGATAGTTGTAGTTCTTGGTCTAACATGGTGTAGATGTTGTAGTTCTCACCCTGAGGAAGGCATCCAGCGGTCCATTCTCCATGAACTCAGTGATGATCCTCTCTGGTGGGCTACGGGTGACCACCCCCTCCAGCTTCAGCACGTTGGGGTGGTCAAACTGTCCCAGCACCCCCGCCTCGGTCATAAACACCGCCTTCTCTCTGTCTGTCACGCCCCAGCGCAGCGTCTTCACTGCCACTAACACCTCCCTACGACCCAGGGGCCGGTACCGCCCCCGAGACACCTCCCCAAACTGGGCTGGAGAGAGAGAGAGAGAGAGAGAGAGAGATACAAACAGATGAGAAACGAGAGAGAGAGAGGAGAGAGAAAGGAGAGAGAGAGAGAGATAAGATAGAGAGAGATGAAAGTAAGAGAGAGATATAGAGAAGAGAGACGAGAGATAGGGGGAGATACGGAGGAGAGAGAGAGAGAGAGAGAGAGATTGATTGATTGATTATGAGTTGAGTTGAGTTTGGACCCAGCTTGACTCCTGGCCCAATATATGAGCTATGAAAACACCAGACAAGCTTTTTTTTTGTTTTTTACAGAACTATCTCTGTAAGCATGAATCAAACCAGGACCCCTACCTGCACCAATCACCTCTTCTATCTTGATGTGAGCGGGGTCAATCTCACGGGCAAACTCCTTGACCGCCTCACTGGGGTCCTCATAGGTGGAAGGGTCCACGTAGTACTTCACCCCCCCTGACAGAGGTAACACACAGAGCAGGGATGGTTTGTAGTGAAACCAGATGATTGTAGTGAGCCAGTACAATAACATAGAATAACAATATAAGTCCTGTACAGTGTGTTGATGTACAGTAGTTGGCCCTAGACTTTGACATGTCAAGCCATGCTGTGTGACATGCTGCATGATGGCAGAACACTGAGCCCAGAGGGATAATGGCACCCTCAACAAAAACATGCTGCGTTTGGACAAGCAGAAAATGTATTTCTTCCTCTCCCCATCTTTCTCTCCCTTTCATTGTCCATCTCTTTTTCCCTCTGTCTCTCTACAGATTTCTCACGCTGTCATTCTCTCTTCTTCTCTCTTCTTCTCTTTCTTTCCCTCCCCTCTCCCCCTCTCCCCCTCTTTCTCCCTCAAGCCCTTGGGGTTATGATGGTAATGGGCATTAGACATGGTCACTACTTCCATTCTCCTCTATAACACACTGCAGAGGCATCCTCTTCACCAAATGTCAACAACACCATAGAAGTAGGATATACTGTATGTGCAGCTGAGAATATTACAGACAGAATGACAGTTCCCTCTAAGTTATATTCAGTTAATAATACTCATCATACACCCTGACTCACCTTTGTGGCTGATGTACCTCTGGAGTCTGTCACTGTAGGGGCTCTCCCTCCTCTTACTGAGAAAAGACACAACGAACCAGTGTTTCAGAACATTGCACTGTGTGTGTGTGTGTGTGTGTGAGACTGAGTGTGAGATCAGTGTGACATCATCATGTATGTGTGGATAGGAGTTAAGGACCCACTCACCTGCGGAACACAAAAACGACCACTATCGCCGCGACGACCAGGAGGAAGGCTGCCCCGCCCATCACAGAACCGACCAATAGAGGGAGCCGATTCTGGATCTGCTTAGAACGCTCCTCTGAGAAAGAAAAAGTGAGAAACAGAGCGAGATTTAGATGGTGTGTTTGACTGCGCGTGTATGTGAGTGTGTGTATGTGTGAGTGTGAGTTACCCAGGGCCAGTGTAGTGAAATAGATAGTATGACTGTAGGGGCCGTAGCCCCTCTCATTGCGGGCCCTGATCTGGAAGGCATAGATGGAGCCAGAAGCCAGAGAGCTGACAGTCACTGTGTTGGTCTCACTGAACACACTCACTGCACTGTCCTCATCTGAACCCTGGGAGAGAGGGAGGGAGGGAGGGAGGGAGGGAGGGAGGGAGGGAGGGAGGGAGGGAGGGAGGGAGGGAGGGAGGGAGGGAGAGAATGATTAAGTCTCTGGGTGTATGTACTTGTGTGTACATACATAGGCACAAGCCTATGTGCGTGCATATGTGTGTAGCGTATACCTTGTCGTAGTATCTGAGCTGGTACTCCAGTATGTCTCCATTGGGTCTGTCGGGCTGTGGCCAGGACAGGGTGATGGAGTCTGGGGCTCGACTCAACTGGTGCAGGCTAGGGACCGGAGAGGGCACTGGGAGAGAGAGAGAGAGACAGGGAGAGAGATGTATGAGCTTTGCGAAGAAAGAGGGAGGAAGAAAGAGGAACAGGAGGGAGAACACAAGCTGGCCTTGCCAGATCACATAATTTCTGTATTGACCAGTTGGGGGCAGCATGACATAGACTAGTGAATGAGCCAGCTCTGTAAAGTGCTGTATGGCCAAAGATTTGTCTAACTAACCCAAGATAGACCAGAGCCTTCCGTTTAGAATGGGAGCAAATTAATCATAGTAGGCAGAGTAAGCAAGGAGGTGGGCAGAGCTAAGCATAAGCTAGTTAGCATATTTCTGTTTGGGAATGCCTACTTTGAAGTGCCCATGTGCAATAACTCAATTTGTCCTTGCTCTCCTAAACAATGCAATTTTTAGAAACATTGGCAAAGGGTAAAGTCTACAAAACACAGTCCACGCTGTTTGTTACAGATTATAGTTTTGGAAACAGAAAACTGTATGAAATTAAATGTTTAATCGATGAGAAAATTAGCAGAATGTCGGCCACTGGGCTTACTCTCATCACCATATTTGGTAGTGAGTGGAAACGCCAACCAGATGCTTCACATTTATACATCCATTGAAATATCTGGCTCATTGTTCTATCTGTGGTATGGACTTTCCTGCCAGACTTATCTCAATAAAAAGTTACACGTTTCTTTCTGTCTGTCTATAAACTGTCTGTCTGTTTGCCTGTCTGTCTATAAACTCTCTCTCTCTCCGTCCCTCTCTATATCTCTCTTCTGAGCATAATGTGAGCTGACAGGATATCGAGTCCAGAGAGCAGGAGCGGAAAAGATGGAGAGCAGAAAAGAGAGAGAGATAGAGACTCACCCATACTCAATGAAACTGATGTAGACTGACAGACAGACATGAAGTACACACACACACACACACACCACATAAAAATGACAAACTGAGAGTTTATTCCTTTACTCTCTTGTCACTCTCCTTAAAGAACAACTTCACCACTTTTCAATCGCATATTCATTATCTCCAGTACAATACCAGTGTCTACATATGTGAAAACGGTGCATTTCTAGGTTTTGTAAAAATATAAAGCTAAAGAGTTATACCTGATGACATCATCAAAAGTTAAAACAAAAAAAACTGTGATTTTCAAACACTATGAGATTCGCTGTGACGTGGGGAGCAAGACTAGAAACGTGTTGTTTAATCCTACACTGTGATGTTACAGAGAAGCATTTTTTTAGGACCTTTCTTCTTATCTTTTTAACCACAGATCATAGAAACGCGCTGTTTTCACATATGTAGACACTGGTTTGGTGCTGGAGATATTGAATATGAGGTTGAAAAGTGGCTGAAGTGCCTTTTAAGCCTGACTCATGCTCTCACCTGATTGGCTCGTAGTGAAATTGATGCTGGTGAATTGAGGTGGGAAAGGACTTAGAACTGAGACATCATTGACCGCTTGTACCTGTCAATCAATAGCAGGAAAAAGTGGACAATGTTAGGTTAACTAAATGGATGTACATTTAATCCAGTATCTATATGAGGTAGGTGACTCTAATGCAGGAGTTTTATACCTGTATGAGGTAGGTGATGGAAATGTAGTATCTGTAGGGGGTAGGTGATCAGGGGAGTTGTAGTTCTACCTGTATGATATAGGTAACTCTAGTGCTCATGGGAGTTCTAGTCCTACCTGTATGAGGTAGGTGACTCTAGTGCTCATGGGAGTTGTAGTCCTACCTGTATGAGGCAGGTGACTAGTGGTCATGGGCGTTGTAGTTCTATATGTAAGAGGTAGGTAACTCTAGTGCTCATGGGAGTTGTAGTCCTACCTGTATAAGGTAGGTGACTCTGGTGAGCAGGTTGTTGAGGGTGACCTTGGTCTGCTTGATGCCAGTCTGGGATGGGGTGAAGGTGACCGCCTCCCCACACCAAGAGCACGCCCCCGGGGCGGTGAAGGTGGCCGAGGGACAGATCTTACACATCACCCCGTACGACACCTCGCTACGACCACCCATGTCCACTGGAGGGCGCCAGCGCAGAGACACCCCACCGTCACCACCCTCATACTCCCAGGAGACAGAGGTCGGAGCAGAGGGAGAGCCTGGGGGTGGGGGGGGGGGGGGGGGGGGGAGATTAAACATTTTGAACCTCTTTGGGTCAGTAATAGTGCCAGCATTAACACATAAAAACAGGACTCATCAACTCCAGTTCACACGTGATCATATCGTAGGGATGGACAGAGAGAATGAGCGATATCAGAGAGAGACAGAGAGGGAGGGATGGGGGCTGGGGAGACAAATGGGGGTTAGAAAGTAAGGGCACAATATATGTTAGTGAACAATAATCAAATCATTTAAATATAATCTAGGAAGAGAGGAAGAGAGAGATTGATAAGAAGGGAGGGAAGGAGAGAGAGTAAGGGAGGGAGAAAGAGGGAATGAAAGAAAAGGACAAATTAGAGAGAGAGAGAAGTAATAGAAGTAGAGAGGGATGAGTGCATTCAGGAAGTATTCAGTATTCACACCCCTTGACCTTTTCCACATTTTGTTGTGTTATGGTTTAAATTGAGATGTTGTGTGGCCTACACACAATACCCCATAATGTCAAAGTGGAATTATGTCTTTAGACATTTTTACAAATTAAGTATTCAACCCTTTTGTTATGGCTAGCCTAAATAAGTCCAGGAGTAAAACTTTGCTTAACAAGTCACATAATAAGTTGTCCTCACTCTGTGTGCAATAATAGTTTTTAACATGATTTCTGAATGACTACCTCATCTCTGTACCCCACACATACAATTATCTGTAAGGTCCCTTAGTCGAGCAGTGAATTTCAAACACAGATTCAACCACAAAGACCAGGGAAGTTTTCCAATGCCTCGCAAAGAAGGGCACCGATTGGTAGATGGGTAAAAAAAAAGCAGACTTTGAATATCCCTTTGTGCATGGTGAAGTTATTAATTACACTTTGGATGGTGTATCAATACACCCAGTCACTACAAAGATACAGGTGTCCTTCCTAACTCAGATGCCAGAGAAGAAGGAAACCGCTCAGGGATTTCACCATGAGGCCAATGGTGACTTTAAAACAGTTACAGAGTTTAATGGCTGTGATTTGAGAAAACTGAGGATGGATCAACAACATTGTATTTTCTCCATAATACTAACCTAAATGACAGAGTGAAAAGAAGGAAGCCTGTACATAATACAAATATTCCAAAACTTGCATCCTGTTTGCAATAAGTCACTAAAGTAAAATTGCTAAAAATTCTACTTTAAGTCCTGAATACAAAGTGTTATGTTTGGGGACTCCTTCAAGACTGTTGGAAAAGCATTCCAGGTAAAGCTGGTTGAGAGAATGCCAAGAGTGTGCAAAGCTGTCATCAAGGCAAAGGGTGGCTACTTTGAAGAATATAAAATATATTTTGGTTAACACTTTTTTGTTTACTACATGATTCCATATGTGTTATTTAATCGTTTTGATGTCTACACTATTATTCTACAAAATGTGTAAAATAGTTAAAATAAAGAAAAACCCTTGAATGTGTAGGTGTGTCCAAACTTTTGACTGGTATTGTATGTAAATTGGATATTTCTGTATTTCATTTTCAATACATTTGCACAAATTCACTTTGTCATTATGGGATATTGTGTATAGATGGGTGGGAAAAAAATTAATGGTATCCATTTTGAATTCAGGCTGTAACACAACAAAATGTGGAATAAGTCATGGGGTATGAATACTTGCTGAAGGCACTGTACATATTATATGTGCTGAAGTAGATACTTAGCTCTGGATAAAAGCATCGGCTAAATTACTAAAATATATATGTTACATCTTCTCAAGAAAGGTGAAAGCTTTTTAATCAGACATATCTATTTGTTCCATAATGCTGCTGGTGCATGTAGTTCATCTGTGTCACACAAACACAAACACACACACAAAAAAACATTTCAAAGGTCCCTGTATGCATGGCACTCAAGGGTACAGAAAGCACCTCCTTCTCCAAACAGCTAGGCTGACCACGACAGCTTAAACAGAGTAGTACCTAGCCAATTGCTTTGCCCTATTTTTTTTCAGGCCCGCAATCTGGAGGCCACTGTAAGCCTGTGTATGTGGCCGAGACTGCCGAAAATCAGCGCCATCAGTTCCCCCCCGGACACACACACACAAATAGCTCACTTGTGCAGGCGGAGGAGTTGATGTCGGCGGGTGCTCTGTAGAAGCCGCTGCGACACTCACAAACACGCGATCCCTCCTGACTGGTTCTGCTGTTAGACGGACACACTGAACACGGAACCGAACCCAACACCGACTTAAAGTACCCCACCTGACATGCTGCAGAGAGAGAGAGATGGGGAGAAAAAGTGAGAGAGACCTCTTTGGGTCAGTACTAGTGCCAGCATCAACACATTAAAACAGCACTCATCAACTCCAGTTCACAAACGATCATATCTCAAGGATGGATGGAGAGAATGAGTGATGTCAGAGAGAGACAGAGAGGGAGGGATGGGGGCAGGGGAGACAAATGGGAGTTAGAAAGTAAGGGCACATATGTAAAGGAACAATAATCTAATCATATAAATGTCATCTATTTATGCTGTACAAATCAGCTCCCTAATTGTCTATTCCAAATAAAACATTATTAGTTACCGGCACTCTGAATAAGAATCAGCTGACTAAACCACTGCTTCAAAAGAAAACCCCTGTAGACTTAATAAATCACAATAGTCCTTTTATGGCCTAGTTTCAGTCATATCAATGTGAGTATTGTTTTAAGAACATACCAGTCACTTGTGACCTCAACATTCCACTGTCTGCCCTTAATATTGAATAATAGACAGATAAAATAATTACATTACTTGTTTATTATAAACCAAGCCAAACAGATAGGAATGGGCTGCTTCTGAAATGAACTACCCTGGCCATTCTCTGAGGGAAGCAGAATAAGAAAGAGCAATCCAATGGCTTCATCACTCCCAAGGTGCTCTAGCAATTTGTATTTGTATTCATTAGGGATTTTCATTAGCTGCTGTAATAGCATGGGGTGTTCTGTTATTTCACACATGTGTGCATAATACGTGTACACACACATACACACACACACGTATTTAAAGAGTAATAGCATGTATGTAACACAGTGCACTTGAGATTACAGTAAAGCGTAAATGTGTGTTAATATGCCAGCTGTTAATTCAGTCCTGAGGGTAACTATGGCCTTATGAGGGAAGAATGTTCTTAGTGTACTAGCTGCCTATACTGTAGCTCTCTCTGAACTTACTGTAATGCAGTGTGAGATTCTGCCTAGGGCCCTTGTTTCCTAGGCCCTCAGTGTTTCAATGTACTTATTCTAAGGCAGTGTTTGAGATTGCCTAGGACAGTGTCCGATTCTGCACAGTGAATAACATGCCTTCTCAAGCAGTGTCAGGCCCTGAGTGTCTCTACGGTTCCAATTCAGTCTGTGTGTAGAGACAGAGTCTGTAAGAGCCAGAGAGTAACAGAACACCTACAGTAAGTGTGTCCATGAATGCTGTTCAAGAAGTGTCTAACTGCTGTTGCAGATGCGGCGAGATAAGGATAGAGAGAGAGAGAGAGAGAGAGAGAGAGAGAGAGAGAGAGAGAGAGAGACAGACAGACAGACACAGAGAGAGATAAAGAGAGAGATCAATAAAAATGTGTGTGTGTCAGTGTGTGTGTGTCAGTGTGTGTGTGTGTGTCAGTGTGTGTGTGTGTCAGTGTGTGTGTGTGTGTGTGTGTGTGTGTGTGTGTGTGTGTGGTGTGTGTGTGTGTGTGTGTGTCAGTGTGTGTGACGGACCTTGGACATGGTGGTCTGAGTGCTCTGCTGCGGTGAACACCTCTCACGTCCTCTAACCTTGTTTAGATAACCTTTTCAACAGCATGTACCACCTCCAAAGGCGTGTGTGTGCGTGCGCGCGTGCGTCTGTGGGTGTGTTTGAGAGAATGCATGTGTACTGGGAGACAGTAAAAGAGACAGAGGGAATAGAGGAGATGTGGAGAGAAAGGCGAGATGTTTAAACAGATAAAAGGCTTCCTGTGTTCTCACTTGTCTGGAAGAGCACAGATCTACTCTCAGACACAGAAGGGGAGAGAGAGGAGGAAAGATGATGGAGAGAGAAGGAAAACAGAGAAGGCTCAGCGGCCACTAGTCTGGAAGAGCACAGAGATGAGGAGAGAGCAGAACAGGCGTGTAAGGGGGAGAGAGGAAAGATGAGAGAGAGAGAGAGGAAAGGGACGACAGTAGGAGAGAGAGAGAGGAGGCGAGAGAGGAGGAGGAGACCGAGAGGAGGACGAGAAAGGAGGAAGAGAGGAGAGAGAGGGGAGCGAGGAGGGAGGAGAGAGGAGGAGGAGAGGGGGAGGAAGAGGAGGGAGAGGGGAGGAGGGGAGGAGGAGGAGGAGGAGAAAGGAGGAGAGAGGAAGGAGAGGGGAGAGAGGAGGGAGGAGAGGGGAGGGAGAGAGGAGGAGAGAGGGAGGAGAGAAAGGGGGGAAGGGGGCGGGAGGGAGGAAGGAGCGAGGAGGAGGGGAAGGAGGAGAGGGGGAGGAGGGGAGAAAGGAGGAGAGAGGAGAGAGGGGGAGAGAGGAGGAGGAGGAGAGGAGGAAGAAAGGAGGAGAGAGAAGGGGAGGGCAGAAGGGGGAGGAGGAGGAGAGGAGGAGGAGGGGAGAGGAGGAGGAGGAGGGAGGAGGAGGAAGGAGGAGAGAGAGGAAGGGGGAGGAGGAGAGGGAGGAGAGGGGAGGAGAGAGAGGAGGAGGAGGGAGGAGGAGGAGGGAAAGGAGGAGAGAGGAGGGGAGAGGGAGGAGGAGAGAGGAGGAGAAGGGGAGGAGAGGAGGAGGAGGAGAGGGAGGAGGAGAGGAGGAGGAGAGAGGAGGAGAGAGGAGGAGAGGAGGAGGAGAGGAGGAGAGGGGAGAGTAGGAGAGAGGAGGAGAGAGAGGAGGAAAGAGGAGGAGAGGGGAGAGAGGAGGAGAGAGGAGGAGGAGAAGGGAGAAGGGAATTGTTCCATCCATCTTTCATGCCTCTGGCACACATTACCAGACGTGTTCTATACGGCTGTGACACGGAACACGACTTTGCTACAAAACTTCCCTGTGCTGTTACGATTGTCAACGATAACCTTCACTTTCTATTCGCCATCCCTCCACCCCTCTCTGCCAATTTTTTATTTTAATTTTTTTATTTCACCTTTATTTAACCAGGTAAGCCAGTTGAGAACAGCTTCTATTACTGCTCCCTCTCCTGCCCTCTGCCCCTTCCTCTGTCTGCATCCCCCTCTCCCTCCATCCGCCATCCCACTGTTTCCACACAATGGAGGGTTAATACAGCGTATACCTATTATGAACTGGAGGCATGCATGTCTTTACATTACCACTCACTATACTGAAGGAAGGAGGAGGGAGGGAGGGAGGAAGGGATGCAGGGTGTGGGAGGGTGGGAGTGGGGACTGGGAGAGGGAGAGAGGGGGAGGAGAGAGAGGGAGGGAGAGGAACAGGGAGAGAGAGAGAGGAAGATACTAAAGGTATAGAGGATGGGGAGGAACAGGGAGAGAGAGAGAGGAAGGTACTAAAGGTATAGAGGATGGGGAGGAACAGGGAGGGAGAGAGAGGTATGTACTAAAGGTATAGAGGATGGGGAGGAACAGGGAGAGAGAGAGAGGTATGTACTAAAGGTATAGAGGATGGGGAGGAACAGGGAGAGAGAGAGAGGAAGGTACTAAAGGTATAGAGGATGGGGGAGGAACAGGGAGAGAGAGAGGTAGGTACTAAAGGTATAGAGGATGGGGGAGGAACAGGGAGGGAGAGAGGAAGGTACTAAAGGTATAGAGGATGGGGGGGGAACAGGGAGAGAGAGAGAGGTAGGTACTAAAGGTATAGAGGACAGCGTCGTCCAAGGTAGGGGCGGGGAATGACCCGGCAGGGTGTAGCTCAGTTGGTTAGGACATGGCGTTTGCAACGGCAGGGTTGTGGTGTTTCTGATTCCCACGGGGGGTATGAAAAATAAAAAAATAAAAAAAACGAAACTAACCTGTAAGTCGCTCTGGATAAGAGGCGTTCTGCTTACTCAATGACTAAAATTGTAATGTAATACTAAACGGTTATAGAGGACTGGGGGAGGAAACAGGGAGGGAGCAGGAGAGATGGATAGTTACTAAAGTTTATAAGAGGATGGGGAGGAACGGAGGAACAGGTTAGAGGAGAGGAGGTATGTACTAAAGGTTATTAGGATGGGTGGGGGGACCAGGGAGAGGAGAGAGAGGCTAGGTATTAAAGGTGAGGGAAGGAGAAAGGAGGAGGAGGAGAATGAGTTAATAATAAACACACATGAACAAACAGCAGTGGACACTGCAGTGCATTAACAGTGACCAAGAGAGAGAGGGGGAGAAGAGGGAGAGAGGGGGAGATGAGGGGGAGGGAAGGAGAAGAATAAAGAAAATAATATAGAGAGAGAAGAGAGGAGAGAGGGCAAGAGAGGGAGGAGAGAGAAGGAACGGATGGACGAGAGAGCAGAGAGAGGCGAGGGAGAGGATTGGAGAGGGAGGAGGGCGAGAGAGGAGACACACACGCCGGAGAGAGGGAGAGTGAGATGAGAGAGAGGAGGAGAGAGAGAGAGAGAGCTAGAGGGATGTAGAAAGGAGAGGGGGATGGGACTGAAAGTGTGGCAGAGAAAAAGAGATTTAAAGACAAAAAAGGGAGAAATATGAAATGACCAACGAGAATAATAAAGAAGAAAAAGAAAAAAAAAGGGGGAGAGAGAGAGAGCAGAAGAGAGAGGAAGAGAGGAGAGAGAGAGGAGGATAGAGAGCAGAGGAAGAGAGAGAGGCGGGCGAGAGGGAGGAGAGAAGAGAGGGAGAGAGAGGAGAGAGGAGAGTGGAGAGGGGAGAGGCTGAGGGAGAAGAGAGAGCGAAGGGATAGAGGAAGAGGAAGCAGAGAGGGAGATGAGAGGGAGAGGAGGAGAGGAGAGAAGAAGGAGAGGAGGGAGGGGGAGGGGGAGATGAGGGGAGGGTAAGTGGCGGAGTTGAGACCGGAGAGGGGAGAGAGAGAGAGAGAGAGAGAGGGAGGAGAGCGGAGAGAAGAGAGGAGAGAGAGGAGAGAGAGAGAGAGAGAGAGAGAGAGAGAGAGAGCAATGAAGTGTATAATTTGCCGTTGACATGGTATTTGGTATTTAGATCACTGACCCAATTTCTACTTCTCTCCCTCTCTCTCTCTCTGCCCTCTCTCCCACTATCTCTCTCTTATGGGCTCATTCTCTCTTGCTCCCAGCATTCTAATCTGACACACACACACACACACACACAGACAGACTTGTCCTAGCACAGATGCAGCCACACACAGGAGACATGAATACACATGGTTCCATGAGCAAATGTCTTATTCCCTTCTGTCTCTTTCTAGCCTCTCCTCCCTCTCTCCCGTCTGTCTCTTTCTAGCCTCTCCTCCCTCTCTCCCGTCTGTCTCTTTCTAGCCTCTCCTCCCTCTCTCCCGTCTGTCTATCTCTATTCTCTCCTCCCTCTCTCCCGTCTGTCTATCTCTATTCTCTCCTCCCTCTCTCTCTCCATCTCTCCACTGTACGTCTGTGACATTCTATAGTTAGAGACGTTTGTCCAGGAAATGCATATTGAATCGTAATAACATGTTCTAATCTGCTCCATGTCCCTTTAAGCCCTGGTTACACTCAGTCTCATATAAAAACAGTCTCAGATAAACAGGTCTGAACATTTAACACTATCCAGGTCATATCAGATAGCTCCAGTACTTACTGTTATAATATCAACATGGGGTTACATGACCTGGAGAAATATCTTTCCTAGACATATAACATAACGCAGATCAAACAGCTAAAGTACACTCTTAGAAAAAAGGGTTCCAAAAGGGTTATTTGGCTGTCCCCATAGGATAACCTTTTTGTTTCCAGGGAGAACCCTCTTTGGTTCCAGGTAGAACTTTTTTGGGTTCCATGTAGAACCCTCTGTGGAAAAGGTTCTACATGAACCCAAAAGAGTTCTACCTGGAACAAAAAGGGTTCTACCTGGAAACAAAAATGGTTCTTCTTTAGGGTTCTCCTATGGGGACAACCGCAGAACCCTTTTATGTTCTAGATAGCACCTTTTTTTCCTAAGTGTGTATACTAAGCTTAATGATATGAAACATCAGGTTCCTAACACTTACAAGACACTCAATAGCAATTGGTTTTAAACCAATTGAGCAAGCAATGTAACACACAAATCAGACAGTATACCAAAATATAAGCCTACGTATATGACATAAACCAATGGGACACAAGCCATATGATGAGTCACTCCTAATAGTACTATCAGCCTATCCAGAATCCCTGGAGAGTCACATGGTCCCCATGGTGAATACACCCTAGGTCATTACATAAATCTATGGAACATTCACCTTGCATAACGTGTCAAGCAAATCCAATATTCTACTAACCCATTGTCCACTCCAATCCAATAGTCCACACTAGGGCACTCTCTCACTGTGTTCAAAATTCCCACAATATCTTGCCCCAGGGTTTGAATTAAATCAGGACAGCCCCATACACATTCAAATATCTTTAATATCACCCCCTTAAGAGATCTAAATATTAGACCCATGTGATTTTATATTTACATTATTTAGTAAACAGGGACATTGCACAATCATTTACATCTAAAAAAAAACACTGTGACGTATATTTGTCCGTAGTTCTGGGCAAATGAAATTCACCAGAGCAACCACAATCCTGGAGAGATACTAAAGGTAAATAAATATTCCTAAGAAATCTTAAGTGTTGAGGAACATATTTCATCAGTGTTGTTAAGGGATCTGTGTTAAGGAATACATACTGTATATCATCAGTGTTAAGGGAACTGTCTTAAGGAATATATATCATCAGTGTTAAGGGAACTGTGTTGAGGAATATATATCATCAGTGTTAAGGGAACAATGTGACATAAAACTGATGTGGACCTCCTTAGAAAGCCCCATGATGTATAATGGCTGTTTCATGTCTGGGTGAACAGGTGTAATTGTGTCTCATGCTCAGTCGTGCTTCTGCTGAGCATACGCTTTCTCTTTCTCTCTCTCTGGAGACGCAAATGTCAACGGAGAAAACATCTACTGTAGGTCTTCTGCTTAGCAGAGAACAGAGCGCTGCTTGTCTCCTGCTCTGTTCCCTGTCATCACTAGAGGATCTGAGAGGAGTTAGTGGTTCTGATGACTGAGCTGGTTAGAGCATGGATGGTGCTTGTAACACCAAGCGGTTGTGGGTTTAATTCCAGCACAGGTCACTTCTAATGAATAGCTTAACTGTAAGTCCATTTGGATTACAGCTTTTGCTGAATGAACATATCATTCATCAGTTCCGATCTTGAATGTGCCTTGAACCCCCTTAGAGCCGTACAACTGAGTTCTTGGAGTCTACACAGATATTTATACAAGAGCCTCAGAGACAATGTAGAATAAAAACCCACAGCGACCACAGTGACCGTCTCAGCTATCATTTTTCTCATCCAAACGACCAAACAGGGACAACAATGCCATGACGTCACATCCACATCATTAGTCAATGACTTGATCAACTAAGCATAATCACAGAATAATTAGAACACAAAAAACCCTGCGTGGGTGGGGCACCCACTCCTTGTGATCTGTTTAGCCCTATCTGGGAGGCCAAGCCACAGAGTTGAAGTGGTTATTTGTCAGTAAATATCAATCAAAGTGGGACAAACCGTGTGAGTGGTGGAGAGAGCCCAGATGTAAGCCATTAGAGCATGAAGACATTTCACAGTTGACTTGGTACAGAGCAGCAGTATTAATGAAGCTGTTAGCTAGCTTGGGACTGGGAGGCCCCTGACCAGCCCTGGCCTGTGGAGGAGAGGGTAGCATATAGCACCACAGAGAACTGCTGGACTGGACCTTTACTGGACCTTTACCTTCAACTGTCAACAGTCCAGGGATAACACACACACACACTCACTCACATACACACACACACACATAGAGACAAAACTAAAATGGTTATTTGGCTGTCCCCATAGGAGAACCCTTCGAAGAACCCTATTTGGTTCCAAGTAGAGCCCTTTCGGTTCCAGGTCGAACCCTTTTGGGTTCCATGTAGGACCCTTTCCACAGAGAGTTCTACATGGAACCCAAAACGGTTCTACGTGGAACCAAAAAGGGTTCTCCTTGGAAACAAAAGGGGTTCTCCTATGGGGACAGCCGAATAACCCTTTTGGAACCCTTTTATCTAAGAGTGTTGGAACAGACAAACAAACAAGCACACACACACCACACCACACAGGCTCCTGCTCTCCACATCTCAGTCAATACCCCTTCCCCCTCTCTCTGTGTCCTTACTTTCCTCAGACTTTCTGCTTGCTCAATTCCTTGAGTCATTAACTTGTGTCCACTTATCCCCTCTCTCTTCCCTCTCTCCCTCTCTCTTTCGCTCTCTCTCTCGATGTGGTTTCTGTCACTTGTTCACAGACGAGTGGCCATTACATCACTATGACCTAAATGTGGTCACAGCTCTTGCATCCTAATCCCTCTCTCTCCCCTCACGATCCTCAAGAGGATCTAGCGAGAGAGAAAAATGAGCGAAGAGTAGAGTATAGATAGAAAAGAAAAAGAAAGAAAATCAAAAACAGAAGTCCGACAAGAAGTAAAAAAGAATAAATGAAGCATCGACCCACATTCTAAGAGAGAAAAACACAATATAAGCAGCTATCTCCTCTAGCTCAACACCAGATATATCCCCCGCCTCCGATCACTACCCCCTCATCTAATCAAACACTCTCTCCTATGCCACTCCTCTCTCTCCCCACCTCCCCCTCTCTATCCCCTCTCTCTCCTCTCCCTCCCCCTTTCCTAATCCCATCTCCTCTCTTGCTCTCTTCCCCTCTCTCTCTCCCCCTCCCCTCTCTCTATCCCCCCTCCTCTCTCTCTCCCTCTCTCTTTCCCTCACTCCCTCTCTCGATATTCCATGATGTATTTCTTGAGATTTCTCCAAAACGTATCTTTCTCGTTGACCCCCACCCAGTGAAGATTGAACCCTTTACTCCTTCAGGGTGCACACTGACACAGACTGTGGTGTAGTGTCCATGTCCCTGTTGTGTGTGTGTGTGTGAGTGTGTGAGTGAGTGAGTGAGTGAGTGAGTGAGTGAGTGAGTGAGTGAGTGAGTGAGCGAGAGAGAGAGAGAGAGAGAGAGAGAGAGAGGAGGAGAGAGAGAGCGAGAGAGAGAGGAGAGGAGGAGAGAGAGAGAGAGAGAGAGAGAGAGAGAGAGAGAGAGAGAGAGAGAGAGAGAGAGTGTGTTCCTCTCCTCCTCTGTGCTAACACACTGGGTCAAGTGGGACTAGTTGAAGCAGTAGTTGAGCTCTTGGTCTGACAAGCTGTCTCTTATTCCCCTGAGCTCTGCTCCCTTCCTGCTTCTCCAGTGAAAACACCAACACAGAGACAGAACACAACACAAAGCCCTCATCTCCTACTTATGCTCCCAGACATAAGCACATATTCATTTACAGTGGGGAAAAAAAAGTATTTAGTCAGCCACCAATTGTGCAAGTTCTCCCACTTAAAAAGATGAGAGAGGCCTGTGATTTTCATCATAGGTACACGTCAACTATGACAGACATAATGAGAAAAAAAAATCCAGAAAATCACATTGTAGGATTTTTTATGAATTTATTTGCAAATTATGGTGGAAAATAAGTATTTGGTCAATAACAAAAGTTTCTCAATACTTTGTTATATACCCTTTGTTGGCAATGACACAGGTCAAACGTTTTCTGTAAGTCTTCACAAGGTTTTCACACACTGTTGCTGGTATTTTGGCCCATTCCTCCATGCAGATCTCCTCTAGAGCAGTGATGTTTTGGGGCTGTCGCTGGGCAACACGGACTTTCAACTCCCTCCAAATATTTTCTATGGGGTTGAGATCTGGAGACTGGCTAGGCCACTCCAGGACCTTGAAATGCTTCTTACGAAGCCACTCCTTCGTTACCCAGGCAGTGTGTTTGGGATCATTGTCATGCTGAAGGACCCAGCCACGTTTCATCTTCAATGCCCTTGCTGATGGAAGGAGGTTTTCATTCAAAATCTCACGATACATGGCCCCATTCATTCTTTCCTTTACACGGATCAGTCGTCCTGGTCCCTTAGCAGAAAAACAGCCCCAAAGCATGATGTTTCCACCCCCATGCTTCACAGTAGGTATGGTGTTCTTTGGATGCAACTCAGCATTCTTTGTCCTCCAAACACGACGAGTTGAGTTTTTACCAAAAAGTTCTATTTTGGTTTAATCTGACCATATGACATTCTCCCAATCCTCTTCTGGATCATCCAAAAGCACTCTAGCAAACTTCAGACGGGCCTGGACATGTACTGGCTTAAGCAGGGGGACACGTCTGGCACTGCAGGATTTGAGTCCCTGACGGCGTAGTGTGTTACTGATGGTAGGCTTTGTTACTTTGGTCCCAGCTCTCTGCAGGTCATTCACTAGGTCCCCCTGTGTGGTTCTGGGATTTTTGCTCACCGTTCTTGTGATCATTTTGACCCCACGGGGTGAGAACTTGCGTGGAGCCCCAGATCGAGGGAGATTATCAGTGGTCTTGTATGTCTTCCATTTCCTAATAATTGCTCCCACAGTTGATTTCTTCAAACCAAGCTGCTTACCTATTGCAGATTCAGTCTTCCCAGCCTGGTGCAGGTCTACAATTTTGTTTCTGGTGTCCTTTGACAGCTCTTTGGTCTTGGCCATAGTGGAGTTTGGAGTGTGACTGTTTGAAGTTGTGGACAGGTGTCTTTTATACTGATAACAAGTTCAAACAGGTGCCATTAATACAGGTAACGAGTGGAGGACAGAGGAGCCTCTTAAAGAATAAGTTACAGGTCTGTGAGAGCCAGAAATCTTGCTTGTTTGTAGGTGACCAAATACTTATTTTCCACCATAATTTGCAAATAAATTCATTAAAAATCCTACAATGTGATTTTCTGGATTTTTTTTCCTCAATTTGTCTGTCATAGTTGACGTGTACCTATGATGAAAATTACAGGCCTCTCTCATCTTTTTAAGTGGGAGAACTTGCACAATTGGTGGCTGACTAAATACTTTTTTCCCCCACTGTATGTAGGATGTTGTTGACATAGTCTCATAAAACATTTGTCCATCATAAACCCCCCCACACGAAACACACACACACGCACACTGCACAGGGCCATTGTCCATCCCTGCCCTCCTCCCCCTGTCCTCTCAGTCAAGTTGGGCCAGTGATCAGAGTGGCAGACGGCAGCAGTTCCATCTCATATTGATCCAGACAGTTCGTGACACAGGGGACAGGTGAACTGACAGGAGGGGGGGCAGGAGAACTGACAGGAGGGGGGACAGGAGAACTGACAGGAGGGGGGACAGGAGAACTGACAGAAGGGGTGACAGGTGAACTGACAGGAGGGGGGAGAGGAGAACTGACAGGAGGGGGGACAGGAGAACTGACAGGAGGGGGGACAGGAGAACTGACAGGAGGGGGGACAGGAGAACTGACAGAAGGGGGGACAGGAGAACTGACAGGAGGGTGAACAGGAGAACTGACAGGAGTTGGACAGGAGAACTGACAGGAGAACTGACAGGAGGGGGGACAGGAGAACTGACAGGAGGGGGGACAGGAGAACTGACAGGAGCGGGGACAGGAGAACTGACAGGAGGGGGGACAGGAGAACTGACAGGAGGGGGGACAGGAGAACTGACAGGAGCGGGGACAGGAGAACTGACAGGAGGGGGGACAGGAGAACTGACAGGAGAACTGACAGGAGGGGGGACAGGAGAACTGACAGGAGGGGGGACAGGAGAACTGACAGGAGGGGGGACAGGAGAACTGACAGGAGGGGGGACAGGAGAACTGACATGAGGGGGGACAGGAGAACTGACAGGAGGGGGGACAGGAGAACTAACAGGAGGGGGGACAGGAGAACTGACAGGAGGGGGGACAGGAGAACTGACAGGATGGGGGAAAGGAGAACAGACAGGAGGGGGACAAGTGAACTGACAGGCGGGGGGACATGAGAACTAACAGGAGGGGGGACAGGAGAACTGACAGGAGGGGGGACAGGAGAACTGACAGGAAAATTGACAGGAAGGGGGAGAGGAGGCCAAAACTTTAGATATTGTTAGATATTGTTGGTCCTTTGACATTTTAGTGTGTGTGTGTGATTTAAGTTTCAAAAAGTATACCAGACTTTGTTGATATTAATGTTTACATTGGGACTCACCTAAGCAGGCAGATCCGTTTTGACTGGGCTCGTATCCCTCTTCACAGATGCACCCGCCCACCGGCACCATCCAGTCACCTTCTGCGTTGCAGTGCATGCGAGGGGCAGAGCCTCCCTGTGCTTGGCTGTGGAGAACACAAGTCCCAGTCACAGGGACCAGGGCAGTAGGCTCTGCCCCTGAGGGTGTGGCCGGATAGGAAGCAAGATAGAGATTGGTTGCCGGGCAGCGGCGGTAGAAGATGGACACACCCATGAGAGAGACGCATGCGCCACTGTCGACGATGGCCAGGACGAATCTGAAACAAGGGTCAAGGGTCATAACATGTTAACTTATTATCAGGATTGAAGGACCACTAGATAGGTGACAGCGTGGATTTAGGTGTGTTAGTTAGCATACACTATTGCCTACAAGGTGGCAAAGGACTTTTTGTCACAAGTGATGAGCATGGTTTGAATATGGGAATTTGTCATGAATTTGTTTCAAATGTTCTCATACAGTACCCATTGCGTGTGAGCGGAGCGAAGCTGCGGGTTTTGACATTGACCCGTCGGTAGCGGTCTGGTTGGTACTGGTGAGGCAGGCTGGGCTCCACCTTGGTGAAACTCTTATCTGCTGCTATGGTGTCAATCTTCACCCAGCCCTCCCTCGTGTCCTTCTCTCCACTGGATGGCTGGACAGGGATGGGGGAGGGGAGAAAGAGAGGGAGGGGAGGAGAGGGGGATAAGAGAGAGAGATCATGAAAAAGCAAGGGATCAGGGAGAAGGAGAAGATAAAGAGTATGTAACAGTTGATTAAAGTATTTAACAGAATACAACAGTTAGTTAGCTCTGAGGGTACTAATTGAGTCAAATATAAAACAGTCGCGGACCAGTGACAGTCTGTGTTTTAATCTAATCTAATTCTCCCCAGAGTTCCAAGGTAACCGTGCTAACTTTCCCCAGAGAGTTCCAAGGTAACCGTGCTAACTTTCCCCAGAGAGTTCCAAGGTAACCGTGCTAACTTTCCCCAGAGAGTTTCAAGGTAACCGTGCTAACTTTCCCCAGAGAGTTCCAAGGTAACCGTGCTAACTTTCCCCAGAGAGTTTCAAGGTAACCGTGCTAACTTTCCCCAGAGAGTTCCAAGGTAACCGTGCTAACTTTCCCCAGAGAGTTTCAAGGTAACCGTGCTAACTTTCCCCAGAGAGTTTCAAGGTAACCGTGCTAACTTTCCCCAGAGACTCAGACTCCTGGCCTTCCTGCTGCTCCACACTCTACATTCCGCTACACTTCACTCATCAGGCTCTTATTTGCATTTTTAAACAGCATCTAACTTTCCCCAAGGAGAAATGTATTCATCCACAAATACTGCATCCTTCCTTCTGTGAGAGCAGCACACGACACGCTGACGCAACAAGAGCTCAGCACTCTATCAGCTCGGCAAAACAGCTCTGTAACTGCTCTCCACTGGAAACCACAAGCCCTGAGGGTAGGAACTACAAAGCACCGATGTGAGATGGGAAAGTTTGTTTATTTAATGAGATTGAGGGGGATGAGAATGAGAGGAATGTTATGGCAAACCAAAGCAACATTATTCCTTGTTTTTGGAACATGATTTTTGGAGTATGCAGAATTACATATTACCAAAATGGGATATTTGGAAATGTAGTCTTTATGCTCTACGTCTTGACAGAAGTTTTTAGAAACTATAAATACCATGGGAAGAGACAATTACTTAAAGATTATTGTTTTGAATTTGAACCCATTAAAAATCTTAATTTGCTTAAAATTATTAGTATAAATCGAAAAATGTATCAGTTTCACTTAGTGTAAAAAGATTTGACAGCAATACCATATCAAATTCTAGTCAGTTTTTGATGTCCCAATACCTTGGCATCGGGTCTATGAACTGACATATAAAACAACAATTGACACATCAATTAATTAATTTTAATGTAAGCTATTATATAAAAGACTTGCTACAAAAAGAATGCTCAATATATGGGGCATTGAACAGTCAGCCTTGTGTAGACATGAGGAAACAGAATCAATAGAACATATTTTCTGGTACCGTCCATCGGTGGCTCGCTTTTGGAGTCAGGTCCAGGAATGGTTGTTATGTCATAACTACAACTAAAACCTTATCAATATGGATAATGTAGCTAGTTTGACCATATTGTCAATGTTAAGCAAGCTAGCTAACTTCATTATTAGCAACGTCAGCTTATCAAGCTAGCTAAAATATTATCTGGTTGAAGCATTGTTCCGACTAAAAAGCACATTAATGAAAAAAAATATTATTTCCGACATCACAATTAGGAAAAAGGATGTTCCGACGATTATGTGAATGTGGCATTACACCTAAAATAAGAAGGTGGGATATTAGTGGGATATTAGTGGCATGATGGGAAGTGTAGTCTTTCTGCCCTACCTCTGCAGCCCATGTCCTCTCCAGCTCTCTCTGTGAGTCGGCCTGTTTGTAGTAGAGGGTGAGCGTCTCGCGGCAGGAGGGCGAGGGCGAGCGCAGACTGGCACAGTCCCGCACGGAGAAACGCAGCGTCACAAAGACCCGTGGTGCCGAGAAGCGGAAGAGGAAGGGCGTGGCCAGCCAGTTGTCCTGGACACGGGGGTTCTGATTGACGTTGCAGACCTCAAAGGTCCGGATAAGATTCCCCCTGTCATCCAGGACACTGACCTCATCCCACTGAGATGGGGGGGGGAGAGAGAGAGAGAGAGAGAGAGACAACAACAACACAATTAGACCCAACCAAATCATGAGAAAACAAAAAGATAATTACTTGACACATTGGAAAGAATTAACAAAAAAACGGAGCAAACTAGAATGCTATTTGGCCCTAAAAAGAGAGTACACAGTGGCAGAATACCTGACCACTGTGACTGACCCAAACTTAAGGAAAGCTTTGATTATGTACAGACTCAGTGAGCATAGCCTTGCTATTGAGAAAGGCTGCCGTAGGCAGACCTGGCTCTCAAGAGAAGACAGGCTATGTGCACACTGCCCACAAAATGAGGTGGAAACTGAGCTGCACTTCCTAACCTCCTGCCAAATGTATGACCATATTAGAGACAAATATTTCCCTCAGATTACAGAGATCCACAAAGAATTGGAAAACAAACCTAATTTTGGTAAACTCCCTTATCTTCTGGGTGAAAAACCACAGTGTGCCATCACAGCAGCAATATTTGTGACCTGTTGCCACAAGAAAAGGGCAACCAGTGAAGAACAAACACCATTGTAAATACAACCCATATTTATGTTTATTTATTTTCCCATTTGTACTTTAACTATTTGCACATTGTTACAACACTGTATATATACATAATATGACATTTGAAATGTCTTTATTCTTTTGGAACTTGTGTCAGTGTAATATTTACTGTTCACTTTTTATTGTTTATTTCACTTTTGTTTATCCATTTCACTTGCTATGGCAATGTCAGCATATGTTTCCCATGCCAATAAAACCCCTTGAATTGAGTTGAATTGAGAGAGAGAGAGAGAGAGAGAGAGAGAGAGAGAGAGAGAGAGAGAGAGAGAGAGAGAGAGAGAGAGAGAGAGAGAGAGAGAGAGAGAGAGAGAGAGTGGCATGGTGTTATAAGTCATGAGACCATATAAAACACAGTGTTCTCAGAACACTTTTAGCATGGTCTGTTCATTATTTTAGGTGATAACTACAGGGGTTTATGGGACCTTGAGTGGAATGTCATCCAAAAGTATTGTTCTCTGTTAGCTGGGTGATAAGTTATTGTCAGCATCATATTTAACTAGCTCTCTGCCTCTGTGCTGTGTGTTTGACATTTGATGCCCTATTCAGACAGAGAGATGACGAATAAGGGGCATGTGTGCATAGTTTGTAAATCCGAGGGAAAAATGGCACATGGACTCAAAGATACAACTTTTACATTTTCATTGTAATATACAGTGTTATGATATCAGAGAAGATTTTATCATAATACAATGTAATAAACTGATAACATATACAAACATATTCTCTAATGAATGCACACATATAAACACAGTCATATTGTGCATATGCTTTGTGTCTGTGTGACTGAATTCCCTGTTCACTAAACTCAGTCAGACTTGATGGGAGAGATGATAAGAGGAGTTGTGTTGGAAGGATGATAGCCTGTAGAGAAGAATGGGTAGAGTCTCTCAGTGAAGGTGCAGCCAGTGTAAGAGTAGATATGAGACCTGGCCTCCACATCATAAAAGGAGACCTCACCCTCCTCATAATCCATAAACACCCCCACCTTCTGGGACTTCACTCTCAGGGAGAGGGGGGCTCCATGGTCAGCACCAGCAACATACTTCCCATCCATCAGCGCCACAGTCCAGTATCCATTTACAAGACTCAGTGAATTATTCCCCTTCCTGTTGATGGACTCTCTAGCCACTCCTAAACCCCATGAAGTCCTCCCTTTCACCTGAACTTCATAGTATAATCGCCCTGAGGAGAACCCATCCTTTCCTAAAACACGGGTATGATAATCAAACCTCTTTGGGTTGGGAGGGAGATTCTGCTTTTTGTCTCCATATCTCACTTGTTTCCTGTCCTTAGACAGGATAAGTTTGGTATACGCTGTATCAGGGTCCAGATTCACATCCACTGTACACTGCTGTATCCTCTTCAGATCAGCAACACACACATTTTCAATCTCTTTACCGAGTGTCTCCTCCAGCTGAGACACAACTCTTCTCAGAGTCCCCACACCCACACTGCTATGAACACAGATCTCAGACCAGTTCTTGGTGTGTGGAAGGGTGGCACAGAGAGATGGGGAGCTCTGAAGGAGGAGGAGGTGGTCCTCAATATCTGACAGCTGCTCCAGCTCAGTGCTTCCTCTCTTTAGCTCAGTGATTTCCTGCTCCAGCTCTTCAATGAGCCCTTCAGCCCGCTTCTCTGCTGCTTTCTGCTTCTCCTCAACCACCTCAATGAGCTCAGCCTGGCTTCTCTCAATGGAGCGCACTAGAGCAGTAAAGATCTGCACGCTGTCCGCTATCTCTCTCTTTGCATCTATCTTGCTGAGCTCTACTGCCTGTTTGATCTCCTTAACCTTCAGCAGTTTCCCCTGGATCATCTCCTGAACTTTACCCTTAGTCTTCCTCATCTGAGGTCAGTGCTGTCCCAGTATCCTCTGATACAGGCCTTGCAGTAGTTGTGTCCACATGGGATGGAGACTGGCTCAGTGAACACATCCAGACAGATAGAGCACTGGAACTGCTCTTCAGACAGGACAATGCTGGAGGAAGCCATTGCTGGAAACAGACCAAAAAATATATAATTTATGAAAGTCTCTGAAATGTAATTAAATATATATTTTGTACAATTCTCCTATTTTATATTTAAAAAAAATATTCAAACAGACGTGTCCTCTCAGTGTCAACAACACACTATTTATCACATCACATCAAGGTTTTTGTCATAATATTCTCTCTACTTTCTTTCTACTCAACTAAACATGTGTTGACTGTTGCTTTTCTTCCGCTGATCAGGAAAATGATTTTTAAAAATGACTGTAGACTACAATAGGTGCAGCTGTATATATAGATTCTTGAAGTATAAAAGATTGATCCTGTTCATAACATTCAGGTTTCTAGTTTAGTGTTTCACTTCAGCCAAGTGAAGTTCCTAAGCCCCTCCCTGCCTACTGTTTACTGAATGCAGGGCTGATACTCTGCTCTTAAAGGAATAGAGTCCATACTGTATACAGCTTAGATCATCCATTCTTGTCAGTCAATCTTCTCTATAACACACTGTGAGCTGTTCATGTACTGGTCTCACTGTGTAAATACATACTTTTTAAATGATCTATTCAATACATTAGTTCATTACTTTATTGGACTTTATGGAACCTTCAATTAAATGTATTCCAAAGTCCAAGCAGTGTTCTCTTTAATGGGTCATTATCAGTATAACAGACACCACCTTCTCCCTTTGTGTGCTGTCTATTTGTGTTTGACATCAGATGTGCTCTACTGAATGTGAGGAGGAATAAGGAGTCTGTATGAGTAGCTATAAATCCTGCAGGAAACAAAGAAAGTGGCATATGGTCAAAGACAAAACATTTTTAGGTCCCGCTTTAAATGAAGTTAAGATTGTAAAGCCTTCATAAAGCCTTCAGAAACACTACAGAAATGTGTTACAAATCATCTATAACTGTGTCATACTTTATAAAGGGTTCCTAAATGTGGCATAACTGTGTGACATAATCACCAATGTCAAATGTGACATAACCCACTATGTCAAATATGACATAAACCTGTGCTTTATAAAGGGTGGCATAAGCACCTCTTAATAAAGGACCTTTTAAATCATATTAAATTGAGGCTTCACAAAGCATTTATAAACCTGTTAAGCATCTTGGTAGAGCATTGCAACACCAGGATAGTGGGTTCGATTCATTGTCGAGTAATAGTGAAGACATCAAAACTATGAAATAACACATATTGAATCATGTAGTAACCAAAAAAGTGTTAAACAAATCAACATGTATTTTATATTTGAGATTCTTCAAATAGCCACCCTTTGCCTTGATGACAGCTTTGCACACTCTTGGCATTTTCTCAACCAGCTTCACCTGGAATGCTTTTCCAACAGTCTTGAAGGAGTTCTACATGATTCCATATGTGTTATTTCATAGTTTTGATGTCTTCACTATTATTCTACAATATAGAAAATAGTAAAAATAAAGAAAAACCCTTGAATGAGTAGGTGTTCTAAAACTTTTGACCGGTAGTGTATATTATATTACTCTAAAACATTTCTAGGATGGCCAAACCTTTTTCCCTCTTGGGTCACAGGAGGTTGATGGAACTTTAATTGGGGAGGACGGGCTCGTGGTAATGGCTGGAACGGAATAAGTTGAATGGCATCAAATACATCAAACACACGGTTTGATGCCATTCCATTCGCTCCGTTCCAGCCATTATTATTAGCCGTTCTCCCCTCAGCAGCCTCCACTGTCTTGGGTGCATAGTCAATATTGGATTTGACCTCAACCTTCCCCCAAAATGCTGTGCTACAGGATAACACACACTCTAAAGTGCAGTAATGCACAGCAAAAAAACGCTGGTAGGGCCTTTTAAAATCAAATCATTTTTTTTGCCTACTTCTGTGTTTTTTCTCCAAATGTAATTTTCTCTGTTTTGTTTTTCCAGGTTTCGGATTTCCCAATTTTGGGGGGTTTTCATACCTTTTTCACACTTTTTTCTTTATAGAAAAACAACAACATTTTATTTTATGTGTTCATAACAATGCTTAAACCAAATCAGAGGATACCTTTTGAGGTCTGGAAAAAATCTAAGAAAAATAGATTTTTTAGTGTAGTTGCTCTTTAATTCAGTGAGCATGTCCTGCAATGTTGTTTGGTTAGCAGGAAGTGCACATGTGATGATTATGTATTCCATATACCGGTACTGTGATTCGCATTGTGGCCGCCATTAGAATGGGTGCAGTAAAAGGCCAGCAACACTCCGTATTAATCAGAGCCCCATGACATGGCACCATATATACATTCTACAGAACTTATTGAGGATTCCCTACAGTGCTTTTACCGTGGCATGCAGAATAGTTCTTGTTCTAAGCCAATATATATTCCATATACAGTGATTTGCATTGGGGGCATTTATTTGACCTTGGAACATGTTTTAAAACCCACATTTAATGCAAATGTCACTTAAATCATGTGAACAAATATTAATCATTGTTAATGTTTAGACAATTACTTTTCATATATCATGAATAAATAGAGGTTATTGACACGTTTCTACTATTACGTGGGGGACTTTTATTTTGAAATCTTTCGACATTCCGTGACCCGGAAGTAATTTTTCGTGTCGCTAACGAGACACTGATCATATGATGAGTTCGTGAATCATATGACTGCTTCTGGTGCCACTGGACAGCGAAAATACGTAAATTAACCTTTATTTATTGTAATTTTAATTCGTTTGTAGTAGTTGAGTTAGATTACATACTGTAGCTACCTCAATCGTTATTTCAAATAATTTTGGTGACTTCACAGCAATTGTGCTAGCAAGCAGGCTCAGCTAAATAAAAATCCCCCTAGATATAGCCACATCATGAGATTTGTAAATGAAAGAGGAATATAATAACACGAATCGAATGGAGTTTCCCATCTCCCCATTTAGAGTTTCTGGGGAGATGGTGTGACAAGCATTTCCTAACAGACCTGCTAACTTTCTTTGTTAGTTTTAAACTGGAACTGACAGCGTTTAAAATACGTTGCAGATATGAAACAAACAGACAATCATAATATAAGTCCAAAATATCAAATTCCCAGTTTATGCTATAAAACCAACTTTATAAGAGGTTTTTAAAAATAGGTTATATTTGACTCAACATTTCATGACATACACTGAGGCATTGTTGGCAGAATAGTTGGATGTAATTCAATGCATGATTCAAATAATTCACCAATACATTTCTTGGTAGTCCAACAAATATTGCTATCAGGTTGTAAATCACAGCTGGCCTGGTACATTGTTTGCTGCCTCCATTCGGGATGCACTGTTTTAGTGTCAATGACTCAATATTTTTGGAAAAAAAAACAGACGAATGTAAGAAAGGCTGGGAATGTCAATACAATCAAACTAGCAAGGGCAATGATCACAAGTCAGTCATAACGTGGCTAATAGGCTAGCGTATCTATTTATGTAGTAAGCTAAAAACACGAAGCCTAACGTTAGCTAGATAGCTGCTAGGAGGATGTCATGTCATGTCATTGGAGGAGTGGGTGAGTGACTGACTTTGAATGATGGCAGGCCTGTGTGGCAAATGGTTTGTTTGCATAAAGACCTACTGTAGATCTGATTGGCTATGGTGCACCGGTCTGCGTAGACTCCGGTCCTGGACGAGACATATGTTTTTATTAGGTTTTATTGCAG